CGGCAAAACATGCCCCATCCCTTGTCTGGAAACAATACCTTTTTCAGCTTCTGTTAGACATCGGTTAGGCAATGGTTAAAGGAAGATAGCGTTCATGCAATCTATTTTTGACCTTAGACATCGGTTAACCGATGACTTTCGAAAAACACCGGGAAAACATCGTTCATGCAATCGGCCCTAAGAGTCTAAGGTCTTGCGCTCGTTTAGTATAGGCCTAATTCCTGCGTTTCTATACTACTTTCGCATGTGATCTGTGTGGTAACAGGTGCTCTTGCCTTCATTATTCAGGTCTACCTCCGAGTACAGGTTTTCACGATGCTTGTGCTTTTGTTTGGGCTCACGTTGTTGATTATTTTTCTTACCTGTTACAAGTTCTACATGACCGTACCAGTGGGACGCTGCAAATCACGCAAAAGGATGGATGGGAAGGTCATAATCATCACTGGGGCCAATACAGGTGCATCAAAATTTACAGCATCATGTTTCCTTCAATTTTCGCATTTCCTCCACACTCTGGATGTGGTTGATAGGACTGCTATTTACCAGGTATCGGGAAAGAAGCTGCCATGGATCTTGCTCACAGGGGGGCCAAACTTATTCTAGCATGCCGAGACTTGAAGAGGGCAATTGCAGCTGCCAGTATGACTATTCCTTATTTGTATAATAGTTTCTCTAAATGGATTTCGCAATCCAGTTTTGACAATAATGTCAAATACACATATTCAATAATGTTTTGTCTTCTTTGCATAAATTGTCCATTCAGCCGATATCAAGGTAGTGACGGGAAACACGGAGGTGATTCCCAAGTACTGCGATTTGAGCAAACTGAGTTCCCTTAGGGAGTTTGTTGAGGATATCCTGAAGACGGAGGATCGCCTTGATGTCTTGATAAATAATGCAGGGATGCTTGGGCTTCAAGAACGAAAATTGACCGAAGATAACCTCGAATATACCATGGCTTCAAACCACTTCGGACACTTTCTTCTCACCAATTCTCTCCTCGGTTACTCCAAACTTCCCTCTGGACATCAATCTCTGATAGATAGGATGCTGCTCCTGCTGTAATTTCAATTAGTGATTCCTTCTCTTTTTATTTATTCCAGATCTTCTGAAAAAATCTGCTCCAAGTCGCATCATCGTGTTATCCTCGATCATGCATCGTTTCGACGTTTGGATATGGATAACCTAAACTCTGAGCATAAATTCCACAGCTGTCGAATCTACTGTGACACGAAACTTGCCAATATCCTCTTCACGAAGGAGCTTGCTCGTCGACTCGACGGCTCTGGTCTTCTGCCTTACATACTCAGATGAATTCAAAGGGGTGCAGGTTACGGATGAGAATATCCCCATAATTTCTTCTCATTTTCTTTTGCATAGGAGTAGTGGCAAACTGCCTTCACCCTGGAGCAGTATGCACAGATTTGTTTCGGGGTATTCCTCCCCCCCTCCTTCGGCTTACAATATTCTTAACGAAGACATTCTGCCGGGTAAGCCTGTGCAGAAAGCGTTTGGTTTTTCTTTATTATGCACTGTGATGGAATATGCCATGGCATGCCCACAGACGCCAGAGTTGGGTGCTCAGACTGTCATCCACCTGGCAGTGGCAGAGGAAGCTGGACGGGTGAATGGGAAGTATTGGAGTGAATGCAAGGTAAAGCCACATATTGGGCAGTAAACAGAATGAAAAGGAACAGGAACGTTTTCTGAGCAATGATGTATGGTTACTTTCAGATTGATCAAGAGAGTCCGACGGCCAGCAACATGGACCTGGCTAAGGCGCTCTGGGAAAAGAGTACTCAGGCTGTCAAGTATGACCGTAGCCACTCTAAATCTCGGACTCCTCTAAATCTCCGCAAGAACTAATACTCCTACTCTACTGTCTTACAAGCTATCTCTTCATTTCACGTCTATTTTCCCTCCTGATCTAGAAATTCTCTCTGAAATGCCATATGAGAGTATACTGAGACTGTGGTACCCTGCCAGTTTTTCATTAATATACCGGGTGCCCCCAAAACACGCGTCCTGTTTGACGCTCTATAAAACCCGCTGTGGATCTTCTTTCGATTGGGAATAGCGACTTTTAGAAATTGATTTTAATCTTTAAAATCCAGTCAAGAGTTTTTAGTGATGCTGTGTGTATATCCTTGATGCCGCCGGGAAATGAGTACAATGGGCATTCGTTGATGATGTGCTTCATTGTTTGGATTGGAGTGCCGCATTCGCACGTTGACGATTGTTTAATATGCCACTTGTGCATCAGGTGTCCGGATCGACCACGAAGAGACCGGATGCGATTTAAGGACACCCATTCGCAGCGTGGGAGTGTGACACCTGGTACCTCAGCTGATGGATCGTCGATGAGGTTCTTCTTTTTCATATCCACGTGAGACCAGGCTTCTCGCCAGCGTTCTTCCGCGCACGACCCCAGGTCGTGCAGGATTCTCGAGGCAGTCCAGAAAGGGCGCCTTGATTTTAGGCGGGACGGAATGGCCTCATCGATGTCGCGGTGGGAGGGATGGGTTAACAATAATCGCTGTGGATGATCTTGGTTTTCGTGTCACATTGGAAACACCACAAAATTTGTCTTCTGAAGTTTCAAATGTTCTCCGAATAAAAATCGACAGTCGTTCAAAGTAATGTAGAGTCATAAAATGTACCTTTTCCGCGCATAAGGTGGATGGAGTTTCAGCGCCACTAGAATAATTTCTCTCCCTTGACGCCATAAATGCTGCGTTTTATGCCAGTTCACATTATACTCTTATTTTGTGTAGTATCGATTCTGATGCTACGACGTACGACAGTAGTAGGGGTAGGTGGGGCAATTTGGGGTCAGTGCAAAACGGGTCTTTTGCCCCACAGATTTCAACCAAATCACAGTCGATATCTTATTGATTATTAAAGGGGAACCTCCAATCACGTGTGCACGTGTTTCAGGTACATCAGCGCTCCATATACAGGGTGCGTAAGAAGTTCTGTTACAAACATTGAACTCACAGAAAAACTCACGGGTAGAACCTTTTACAAGGCAGTTGCGGCCTCAACAAAGCAAGGCCTTGCTGCAGCGGTTCACGGCTGATGACGTGGACAAAATCCTGTTTTCCGATGAAAAATTGTTCACCATCCGGGCTACCTCCAATCCACAAAATGATCGGACCCTCGCGCCACGGATCTCTGATGTCTCCGATGATATGCTAATTAGGGATGTAACGATATTATATCGGAATCGGTTATCGGGCCGATATTTACTAATCAGATAAATATCGGCATTCCGATATTTTGCTTCGTCGATATTCGATATCCAAGTGCATGATGAACGTCTGCTTCACTCAATATAAATGCAACGTAACCG